GAATGGGGATTATAACTTCTAATTATATACTATTTGAGACGATATATTCATGTCACCTTTTTAGAAAAGTTTTATGAATGTGTCACAACAGGCCATGGACTATATTAGGGGCCCAATCTTATGGGGTTCCCAGAGGCTTCTCTATAGATTAGTAAAGTTTAAAGAAAACCACGGTACTCAGTGAGACTCAGTGCTCAGTCTAGAAGATCCCATTAAGCATCTTTGTGATGCTTGGCTTCAGTTCTCAAACTGTGGATTTGTCTCTCCAGAGGTAACATCCTTGTTAACAGCAGTATATGGAAATGAGGGAGAACAGACCTGATTACTTAAAGTGCTGTTTCAAGAAGTTAAATGGAGTGGATTGTTGGGGTGGAGTAGATTTGGGCAAGGGGGAGGAGCCTGGAGATAAATGCAAGGAGGGAGGGGCAGTAGAAGCAAAAGAGAACTATTTTGAGCAGAATATTCCAGAAGTCTTGAGAAATAGGTTTCTGAGTATAGCCTCCCCATTGATTCGGATCTAGTGAGGGAATGAATGGTATGGTAGAAGGGAAGACTTATCATTGCAGCAGGCTTGCTAAGCCATAAAAGAGAGAAGTTGAAACCAAAGATGCAAAGAAATCTAGAAGAAAGTGAGGAAAGCCCTTAGCTAATAACATGTGGTGGTGGTGTTCATTTGATGTCCTCCTCGTACAGCGTGGCAAAAATATCCCCCAAATATCCATGATTGAGCTAGTGAATAGGAGATAGTTCACCTCCCAATGACTTCACAAGTATCTGCTTCAGTTAGCTTTGGTAAATAAAATAACCAAATTGTTATTCAGTTTTCTGATGTAGTTGCAAAATTAATCTGAAAAAATATCAAAATAAATAGCTGCTTTAAAATGTATAGCATGTGCCTTCTAAAAATGAAACCTATATCTATCTCTGAGTTGCGAATAATATATATTAAAGTTATATCAAACAACAAGAATGTACTTTTTGTAGAAAACAGTTACTAAATCAAGGCTTCCTGACCGATGATTTAAATCAAATCCACCCTGGTCTCATCCCTGTACAAATGAGTTAGGCCAAGTGCTATTCCAGTTCAGCTCTGGCAACACAGAGCCCAGTAAATGTTTACTCTGCATCCCAGAAGGATTTTTCAACTCTTGATTATGCTTAAACTAACTATACTTGCCTCTTTCAGTTGCAACAAGTTCTTGTATGCCTGGCTAAATCCATCACTCTATGCAGTTTGAATAGTATTTTGCACTGTGACTACTCTTAGCCTAGGCCAGGGGTAGGCAACCCCTGGCACCGGTGCCAGAGTGTGGCAGTCAAAGGCATTTTGCTTGGCACATGTGCCTCTGGGTGAATGGCGGGGAAGGGGCTGGGGCTACATGGCAACAGCAAGGATTGGGCCCCTCATGGCTCCCCCATCTTCTACCCCAGCACACTAACATCTTACAAGTTGAAGTTGTGGGTGTTTTTGGCACTCTTCCCCAAAATGTTGGTGACCCCTGGCTTAGGCTACGAGAAGGTGTTAATGAGGAAGGATTAGGGTACTGGTGTACTGTGTAGGACTCAACATGAGTCTGCAGTTTTGGACTGCCTCAGCAGGGACATTAAAACATAAGCCTTGGCACTGATTAGGCTTCATCTAGAGTATTGTATGCAGTTCTGTGGTCTTAAAAAAACATTATGGGGAAGTTGGAGAGAGTCCAGAGGCAGGCTTGGATAAAGGGAGTAGAAGACAAACTATTTGAGGAGAGGTGAGAAATAAGCATGTTCAGCTTGTGAAAGGCAATTTCAAAGGGGACAAGATAGCAATATTCAAGTATCTGAAGAACTGCAATCAAGAAAAGGAATAACTCTCCTTTTCTACTTCATTGCAGAGAGTAGAATGCATAGCAGTGGCTTTAAGTTGCAGCAAAGTAGGTATAGACTGGCTATCAGGAAAAATGTCTTCACCATTATGAAAGTGAGGCAGTGGGATCAACTCCGTAGAGAAGTTGTGATATCTCCTTTATTGGAGTTTTTCAATAAGAGGTTGGATAAGCATTGGGCAGGAATGATCTAGGAGTATAAGTGCCTGGACTGTGCTTTAAAGAGCGACAGTTGGAAATCCTGGAGCCCCACATGTATACATTGTTGAGAGATGAGCAGAGCTCTGCAGTCCAGAGCAGGTGGAGATTGAAGAGGACCATACTCAGCAGCAGGACATTGAAACAGACCTCCTGAAATGGCTTGGTTATGAAAGAATATTAAAAAGTTGGGATAGGTTTATGGAAGGGATAGGATGATAGAAGGGGATATTCTGGCTCTCTGGTGTGTGGATTTGTGTCTCTGGTCTCCAGGTTGTAGTGTAGAGTGGAGGGGTTTTGGATTTCCAGTATTTCTGGACTTTGCTGGTTGTCACATGGGACCAAGAAGGAAGTTTTTCCCCTCCTGTTGTTACACGTGTTGGGTTTTTTTCTCTATTCCTCAGAAACATTGGATATTGGCTACTGTATACTCTGGATTTTGAGTGGAGTGTTCTGATGCTCCTGCTGGAACTGAAAAGTCTGGAGGTTTCTGGTTTGAGGGTTTGCTTCTCTGCTCAGGATCAGTTTGATCACCCCATTTGACGTCAGGAAAGAATTTTACCCCATAGATTCACATGGATTGTGGGAGGTATTGCTTGCCTTTGCAGCAAGAGACATGGTTTTCTTCCTGGGATCTCTCAACTGGAGTAGATGACCTCCTGAAGTCCCTTCCATGCCTCTCTCTATAATTGTATGGTAACCTGACTTTTATACTGCAGTGAATCCAAGACAGCTGATACATTGAAAGCTTTGTTAACTGGCTGTGTTGTACTTCCTAGGGGGGGTAGTCTAGGACAGGTGCTTTCAAACTTTTTTGAGCAGTGTACCCCCAGCAGCCAATAGCAGAGCAGGGGCGATGGTGGCAGCTGGTTGTGGAGCGGCGGTGCAGGGTGGTGGATGGCAGCCACCGCGTGCAAGCTTCTCTTCTCCCCCCCGCCCTCCCCCCGTCTGACAGTCTGGGTGGTACCTGTTTGACCCGCAAAGGGTTGCCACTGCCGTCACCTGGCCCCAGCCCTGCTCCTGTGAGGCAGCAGCAAGGGTGGTGGTACTCCATACTTGCCCACCCACACATACCCCTGCTTGGGTACGTCCTTGTAACCAGCTGACATGGCTTCAGGTATCTTGGTCTTATTTCTCAAATATTCCACTCATTAACTCAATTCAAATAAGATCAAAATCCTTCTTACCTGTTAATATATACATTCTTAGATAATTTTTCATAACTAGAGAGCAATCAGTGCTTTCTTCACAATTTGCAATCTGTTGTATTCAAAGCATAAAACAAAATGTTTTATTTTGCAGAAAGAATTTAACACAGATCCATGGACATGCAGCGTGAGTAAAATAATTTTTTCCTTGATACTTTAAGTGTCTTTGAATATCAGTTGTAACCATGACCTGTATCAGTTGTAGGAATTTAAACAAAACAATAAATGATTATTACAGTAATAGTGAGGGGGTTTCTTGGAATAAATACCTTTTGACCATGGCACTTCCTTAACAACCATACAAGACCTACCTGTCAAACAAGTTCTTCTGTATAAGTAGTCAAGTAAAACTTGAATTCAGATGAACTAGCAGCTCTCTGTGTGTCCTGTCTCTTGAAAATGTTAAGGACTTCCTCACAGGGTCACTATCTATCACATGTTGGCTTCTAGTCTGTGATATAAGGTTATCTACCTTGAAGTATTAGATTTTTTTTTTCTTTTTAAGCTCACTAGAGAATGTTGCTGTGTGCTAATTCTTTCCCTTTTTGTGTAGCAGGATGAATTCCTGGCCCCACCGATGCCAATGAATTTTGCCATTGATGCCCTTAGAACATGGGCTGAAATCCTGCCCTCTAGTATTCTAAGTTATTCAGATACTTGTCTCCATTTAAACATTCTTCAATAAAGCTCTCGGATTGAGAGAAATAATGATATGTTGAATTCTGGGATATGGCTCACTTTTGAACTCAGTACCATAAATGGGAGTAACTTGAGACTCTTTTCTTTTAAGGATCCCATTGAAATACTGCAAGAGGTGTTCTTTAGGGCTCTGCAAAATTTTGCCTGGTGTTTCCTTTTGAAGCTGTTTCGATACCATTTGAAGCTCGAAACAGTGAAATAGAAACAAAACAAAAGCCTTTGAAACAGCTTCAAAACGAAACAAAGGCACTTTAAATGTTTTGAGTTTTGAAGCCGGGCTTACTTGGCTTCAGCACCAGTCCCAGCTGGCAGCGGCAGCCTTCTGTGATGTGGCATGCAGATCCGGGGGCTGTGCCCCCCGGGAGGAGTCTGGCACAGCCCTCCCCAGGGTACAGGCCCCTGGATCTGTGTGCGGGATGACAGCATGCTGTGGCTGCCAACTGGGGCCAGTGTCATCAGCAGTCTTCCCAGCGCTCTACAAAGGCTGCACCCACCGCAGATTCCAGCTAGCAGCAGCAGCAGCCTCCTGTCATCTGGCGCACAGATTGGGGGCCTGCCTGCACCTCCGGAGAGCTTGCGGAGCTGTGCTGGACTCCTCCTGGGGGTGTGGGCCCCTGATCTGCATGCTGGATGACAAGAGGCTGCTGCTGCCACCTGGGATCAGCGCTGTGTGCCCAGCATAAGGAAGAATGGTGCTGCTGCTGGCCAAAAGCAGCAGCAGCAGCTTCCTGTCATCTGGTGTGCAGATCCAGGGGCCTGTGCCACCCAGGAGGAATCTGGCACAGACCTGCAGACCTCCCAGGGTTGCAGGCCCCTGAATCTGCATGCAGGATGACAGCTTGCTGTTGCTGCTGCTGCTTCCTTGGGCCAGTGGCAGCACCAGTCTTCTCAGTACGCCACACAGGCTGCACCCAACAGCAGTCTCAGCCAACTGCAGCAGCCTCCTGTCATCCAGAGGCAGATTGGGGTGCCCGCACACACCCCCAGGAGGGCTATGAGGCTGTGCGGGACTCCTCCCAGAAGCCACGCAACCCAGGTCCTGCATGCCCAGCCAGATGGTGCAGGGGTTATGCACACAGAACCTGGGCCAGTGTGGCCAGCGGTCCTCGCGAGTGGCACGCAGCCTTGGATGACAGTCTGGAGTTGTTCGAAAGCACACAGCGCCCACTGTGCACTGCATCAAGCTGAGCTGCAGCAGCGTGCTGCGGTGGAGGCTTCACAGAAACTTGGCAGCTGGGGCTGAGCCGCGCTCCCTCCTGCCATGCAGGGGGGCTGTGCCACAAGGCCAAGAGCGCAGCTGCTGTTGCTGTTCAGTTGCCGGGGGAGGCTGAAGCCGGGCAGGGAGCATACAGGACGGCTGGAGCCAGGTGTAGGCTGAGCTATAGTCAAGCAGGTAGGCAAGCGGGGGCATCGGTCCCCGGTGGGAGAAGCAGCTTGAGCATCCTCTCATCCGGGGTGCAGATCTGGGGGCTCACACCCTGGGAGGGCTGCTGGGCTGTGCTGGACTCATCCCAGGGGTGTGAAGCTCTGGATTGGCGTACGGGATGAGAGGAGGCTACTGCTGCTGGCAAGTGTCAGGACTTTTGGTTTGAGCAGTCTGAGGTGCAGTTTCCCAGAAACTTTGCAAGCTTCATGCCCTCAGAAGTGGGTACCATCCCTGGAATTTTCATCCAAATCAAGCAAGCAATGACAAAGTTTTAGGCATTTTCATGATTCCCCATTATAGTCTATGGGTGAAATGTTGAAACAGCGAAACAGTTTCAACGAAATGAAACAGGACAGTGCTTTGAAGTGAAACAAGGGAAGAAAATGCTGTCCCTTCGAAATGGTGAAATGGATGTTGAAATGAAACGATGGTGTTTCGCACAGCCCTAGTGTTTTTGTTTTGATGCTTAACCACACAAACACAGATACATGATAACTTCCCTGACAAACCTAAAATGTGGGTGTATGTTGTTACTGTCCATGATTTCCTCCCTACCCCACCCCCCCTAAATTTTTTTAAAGTTCTGCTAAAAATGTTCAATTCTGGATGTCTGCAACTGGGCTTCTTAATTTAAGTGGTATGTTCCTAAAATTGAAGACAGTTGTGTTCAGCATCCTGACTCTGACTTTTGTAGCAATCGTTAAATCTCGTTTTCCTAGGTTAGCTGAAAAAAGAAGTATGTTAAGTTATAAAGTGTTACAGTAAGAAAAGTGTGCTTATAATTTATATAGTATTTGTAAAACTGTCCTTGTTAAACTGAGGAAGTCTCTTATGCTTCAGAAGAGTGTATTAATTTGTCTGTTCTGTTGAGGAATGCTGCCATACATTTTTGGTAACTATAGTTTCATAGTTGGTA